ATTTTCTTTTGGTACCTCTTCTGACATCAGACTCGGACTTCTCTTGAACTGAGTTTTACTGTGCGTATTGTTATTTGTTTATACCACACATAGTTCACAAGCACACACACCTTAAAAAGATCTTCAAGATATTGCGCTTAAAACAAGAAAAAAGAAAACGGAAATAGTAAAACATTTAATAAAAAGTGTCAACAATTTAAACGTTTAAAACGCCTATATTGAAACAAATTACATTTCGTTTTCATTATTAGACATTTAAATAATGAAAATTTTTCAAATTTGAATATTGCACAGCAAAATAAAAAATGAAAAATTGGAGCATTTTTCATTTTTCAATATCAAACGTCAAATTGAAAAATGCTCCACGTTGGAGCATTTTTCATTTTTCAATATTTGAAGTCAAATTGAAAAATGCTCCACACTAGAGCATTTTTCATTTTTCAATATTGTAAGTTGAATTGAAAAAATGCTCCACGTTAGAGCACTTTTCATTTTTCAATATTGTAAGTGAAATTGAAAAATGCTAAAGGTCAGCATTATCAATATTTGCTTTTAAGAATGAGATTGAAATATGTTTTGTTTTCTAAAACAAGCAAATACAAATGTTTTAATATATTTAAAACTTTTGACAAAATAAAATCATTTTTAACACAAACTTATTGATATTTGTTTCAATATCTTCGTGAAATCAAAAATATAATTTCATGAAAATAACAATTTTTAAATCTTATAGAGAAAATGGTTTTTCGAAAGTGACTTCAAAAGATTTTTGTTACATTTTTCAAACCAACTACCTTTAAAAGTTGCAGAGCAATTTGCAAAATCTATTTTTCATCTTCAAATGAAAAATGGTTGGCGTGAATGTACACGGACGCAAATACAAATGTTTTAATATATTTAAAACTTTTGACAAAATAAAATCATTTTTAACACAAACTTATTGATATTTGTTTCAATATCTTCGTGAAATCAAAAATATAATTTCATGAAAATAACAATTTTTAAATCTTATAGAGAAAATGGTTTTTCGAAAGTGACTTCAATAGATTTTTGTTACATTTTTCAAACCAACTACCTTTAAAAGTTGCAGAGCAATTTGCAAAATCTATTTTTCATCTTCAAATGAAAAATGGTTGGCGTGAATGTACACGGACGGCAGAATGACAAATTCAATAATTTAGGACAGGGACTTTCAATACTAACGGATTCCCTGTTAACTAAGGAGGAGATCTTTTAACAATTTGACAATATGCTATTGAAATGCATGATAAATGCAGGGTATCCAATTTATTTATCGACATCTTTGTGTAAAAAAAGATACAATATTGCTAGATAAATAGAAACAAAAACACATTTCCTTGCATAATCTTATCTAAAATTATTGAAAATTATCATAATTTATGGGTATTTTTTTTAACATGATACACCGAATTTTGTATGTTTGCATTACACACTTGCACTGTATCAATTAGAAGGTAGGTTAGAAAGTCACAAAAAAGAATTAAAGGACAAAACGCCATTATACGGTTTTCCGGATAATGTTTTTTTGGCAAATATTAAAAAAAAATCTAGAACTTTTACATATACATAACATGTTAGGTAAACACCTAGAGTTACAAATATACCAGCATACATTTTTGATAGAAAAAAAAAACATGCTATCAAAGATACTTCAGAAATGCCTAGCTCCATGCCTAAGAAATATACATCTTTTTATTGTTCACATTTATTTAACCTTCATTCAACAATGGGAAGGAACATTTGCCTCAGCTGTGAAATGAATTGATTTAAAACGACTTTAAACATATTTATTTCTGTCTTGTCAATATCTTAGCATAGAATATGATCAGAATATGGTGTGTGTATAAAACAAGTATACCGCTGTAATAAAAGCACTAGACAATTTATACATGTAAATATATGCTATTTCCTACAGAATTTTGTTTTGTTTTTAGTTTTTAATTGTTTTTTTGTCATTATCGTGTATTTTTTTTAACTACTAAATTTGCGGTTTTGTGATATGTGCGTGCAGTTTTAACAATATCGTCAATAGTGTTTAGAAAGAAGCTATTATAAAATGTGTCAGAACCTTAAATTACACATACCGGTACATGAACGGAGCTATAATGATTCCATGACAGGTGTACATATGATGTAATTGTGAAATAGCCATTGTAATTGCCAAGTTTTTAATAGTTTAAGGATCATTGATTGTATTACCGTTTGATTATTGGCACGTGCCATCGAACTCAATTTTTATTGACAGAAAATATTAAATAACGAATACATTTATTACTATTAGAGGAAGAAGAAGACGAAGAAGAATTATTTATTATAGTGCAACTTGAATAAACAAATAAATACATAATTATTTTATATGAATTAAAATTGTTATTAAAATGAAAGAAAGGATTAACGCTTTTACAAGGATATATACTCGATGCTGAACTTAAATTAGGTTGTATTGTTTTAACGAAAAGTTCTATGAGGATCTGGAGGGGGTCCTTTATTTCTGTATTCTTTATTTTTTTATGCCAATTTTCTCTATTCTTTAAACTTTTTGTCTATTATTATCAATTCTTTATATTCAAACACCATATTATCTCTATTTTTTATTTTTTATCCATTTTCTCTATTCTTTATATTTATTGCCCATCATTCTCTATTCTGTAAACCCCACCCCGTCAACATCTTCTTCTTTCCGATGGTATGTTATTTATAGTTTTATTGTCTCGTCACGGTCTAAATGCAGTTTTCAGATTATTAACTGCACTCGGAGACATGGTCCCCTGATGCGGCCTTGGTGACTACGCATCACTATACGAAATAAAAGCCCAAAAACAGACGATTGTCCAAATATAAAAAGAATAACACGCACGGGGAATGATTACAAAATGCCACGAAGTAATTATTAGGTTTTAGAGGAAAATATCGAAAGATAACGAAAGTAACGATATAAATTATCTGACATAAAACATATTTGTATTTACGTTGATCGTTCCCGATGAAGTTAAATCCAGAAACGTGCTTCAGACGCATGAAATTTATAAGGTGTTTTCACTCTTTTGTTAATGTTAATATGTTTAAAATTTGCAATAACTTCTTTTCAAAGAATAAGTAGATAAATACATAAATTAACATCAGAAAATAAAAAATAAAATAAAATCATAAACATTTATAGGCGAATAATTTATTTCCTCAACAAAACAAAATCACTAATCTCTTAAAAAAGACCAACAGAAATAAAAAGTCAACCAATAATTTTATGTTTAATTATTAAAAATATACGTTTTTCATTCTAGCATTTATATTGTAAATATTTTGTAATTAAAATGTATCATCCACATGAAGGGGCGTAATTCCTAATATCATTCTGACGCACTAAACGGATCTTAACCCGATCTGAAAATTTTGAACATTATTTTTTATGTTTGGTCTGAATTCGTCTAAAACCGTCTCAACATATCTTGTTTAACAGCTAGAGCCTTCTGTCTTGTTTATCTTGACATGAATGAACGGACTGAACACGACATATCTGAACAGCGTCTGAAAGTCTTAAAAAGTCTTAACGTTTTTCCCTAGTGGTAAATTCAGTCGATTCAGACTTGATCAGACCAAAATGACCGTTTCAGACTGAAATCTTGCTACAAGTGCTATGCTGTGTCAAATATTTAATTATAATCCAAATTCAGTGCTATACCAAGCTTGAATGTTGTGTCCATACTTGCCCCAACTGTTCAGGGTTTGACCTCTGCGGTCGTATCAAGCTGCGCCCAGCGGAGCATTTTATTAAAATTGGAGTTATCTTCCTTTGTCCATGATTATAGTTGAATCAACTACAATCAATGCTTTATACAATGCAATGTTTAATTTTGACTTCCACTGATAAAACACAGATCAAGTTGAATTTGGGTAGTGTCACTTTAACCATTATTGAGTTATGCCCCTTTTTATATAGAAAGATTGCAAAATTTTTAGTTTCCATCCTGTAACTTAAGTTTTCCCTAAACAAACATTTTGAAACCTATACACAATATTCATTACCACAAAACAAAGATCAAGTACAAATTTTTTGTTTCCGTTTTCTAACTTTAGTTTGCCTCAACCAAATGTTATGAAACTTATACACAATGCTTATTACTACATGATACAGATTAAGTACGAAATTTGGTGGCGACACTTTTACCATTCCTGAGTTATGTCCCTTTATAAACATGAAAATTGCTGAATTTTTCGTTTCTGTTCTCTAACTTTAGTTTGTCTCAACCAAATATTATAAAACTTATACACAACCGTTCTCGAGTTATGCGTGTTTACAAATAGAAAAATTGCTGAATTTTTAGTTTCTGTTCTCTACTTAAGTTAGCCTCAACCAAATGTTATGAGACTTACACACAATGCTTATTACCACAAAACTCAGATCAAGTTCAAATTTGGGTAGCGTCACTTTTACCGTTCTTCAGTTATGTCCCTTTATAACTATAGTATATGCAAGCGGGGGCATCATCTGTGTCCACATTTTGACACTATCCACATTTATTTTTATTCCTTAGACCTACCAAATAGTTTGTATGCAAAAACCTCCCAAAACATAGTTAGAGCAAACATGTGCCATTGCCTGAGATTTGGTTTGAGAAATACCACTAAACTATTCTATATCATGTCATTCAGTAACAAACTTAGTTTCCTGATCTTTTGACTCTGGGTAATAATTCTCTCATGGGCAAGCCAAACCCAAAAAGCGCTCACACAATAACTCATCATTGTCAAGCTACTGACCAAATATGAAGTCCATTTTTTCAGTAGTACCTGTTAAATGTGTGAAGGAAATATTAGATGGAGGAACAGACATACTGACAAACAAACAAACGGACAAGGTGAATTCAATATATCCTTCTCCTAGAGTTGGGGAACAACATTCTGATTTTGACCCAGATAATCACTCTAACCAATATCATTTATAACTAATATTGTATGACATATAAACATAACTGGCTTACCGTTTCTTTTCTTTCTTAGACGTCTCCCAAAACAAATGGAAATTGTCACTGACACTGACACTAACACAATAACTCCAGTTATTAAAGCAGCTCTAAAAGCAATTGAAATATAGGTTGTAAACATATAAGGCTAAACAAAACAAATAAAGTTATGTTTTCTATCAACCCAAACATATTCCTTTTTGAACATTTTTGGTATAGTTGATACATCTTTGTTAAGCACTGTTCAAGTCCAGAACAGTTCCCAATATAGTATGTAAAATATTTTAAAAGATGAAATAATTTAATTAACCTATCTACATTTTTTCTGCAGGAGGCATGCAACCCAGTTTTGGCTGTGTTCATGTTAATCAGTCTTTAGTTTTCTATGTAGTGTATTTAGGATTTGTTTGTCTTTTGTCGTCTTTCGTTTTATTGCCATGGTACACAGTTTCTCAACTTGTGAGTTTTGAATGGGACTTGGTATCTCCAGTTTCTTTTTAACAAAGTATATATATTTTTTTGCCTTAATAAAGGTTTAATATATCAGGTTTGGATCACTTGGTTTCTTAGTTCAATGCCAAGAATGCTTATCCCCAAAAAAACAATTCTAGCAGACTCTAATTTTCAGAATTTGTTGCATTTTTTTAAGTTAAAAAAATGATCCAAGTAGGACAAGAACGCATGTCTTGCTAAGCATACCCTCCATAATTCAAAGTATAGGAACATAGGAAGTAGGAGTCAGACAAACCCAAAATAGCTTAAATGATACAATGCCTTACTGCTAAGCAGCTTAACAAATGTTGAGTCATGCTGTTTGATAGTTTTTGAGAAAAGTGTGACAAAATATTTGTTTTCATTCAACATTTTAAACATTTTTAAATATCATCAAATAGGAAGTGGTTGTCCCACAGATCAAAAACAGATCGAAAACCCACTCACATAGTACAACTCATCATTGCAAAACTAATGACCATTCAAGATATCTCAATTCAGAATTTTTTTTTTTGGGGGGGGGGGGGGGGGTGTTTCATTCATTTTCAACATTCGATTTCAACATTCAACATTCAAATTTTTTTTTTTTGTTAAACTTTTTTTTCAATTTTTTTTTTTTTTTTTTTTTTTTTCAACTTTCGATTTTCAACATTCAACATTCGTTTTCAACATTCGATTTTCAACTTTCAACACTCGATTTTCAACATTCAACATTCGATTTTCATCTTTCAACATTCATTTTCAACATTCAACATTCGTTTTCAACATTCGATTTTCAGCTTTCAACATTCGTTTTCAACATTCAACATTCGTTTTCAACATTCGATTTTCAACTTTCAACATTCGTTTTCAATATTCAACATTCAACATTCGTTTTCAACATTCGATTTTCAACTTTCAACATTCGTTTTCAACATTAAACATTCGTTTTCAACATTCAACATTCGTTTTCAACATTCGATTTTCAATATTCAACATTCGTTTTCAACATTCAACATTCGTTTTCAACATTCGGTTTTCAACTATCAACATTCGTTTTCAACATTCAACATTCGTTTTCAACATTCAACATTCATTTTCAACATTCGATTTTCAACTTTCAACATTCAACATTTGTTTTCAACATTCGATTTTCAACTTTCAACATTCAACATTCAACATTCGTTTTCAACATTCGATTTTCAACATTCAACATTCGTTTTCAACATTCGATTTTCAACTTTCAACATTCGTTGAATGTAGAAAACGAATGTTGAATGTTGAAAACGAATGTTGAATATTGAAAATCGAATGTTGAAAAACGAATGTTGAAAGTTGAAAATCGAATGTTGAAAACGAATGTTGAATGTTGAATGTTGAAAATCGAATGTTGAAAGTTGAAAATCGAATGTTGAAAACGAATGTTGAATGTTGAAAACGAATGTTGAATGTTGAAAACGAATGTTGAATATTGAAAACGAATGTTGAAAGTTGAAAATCGAATGTTGAAAACGAATGTTGAATGTTGAAAACGAATGTTGAATGTTGAAAACGAATGTTGAATGTTGAAAACGAATGTTGAAAGTTGAAAATCGAATGTTGAAAACAATTGTTGAATGTTGAAAGTTGAAAATCGAATGTTGAAAACGAATGTTGAATGCCGAAAACGAATGTTGAAAGTTGAAAATCGAATGTTGAAAACGAATGTTGAATGTTGAAAACGAATGTTGAATGTTGAAAACGAATGTTGAAAGTTGAAAATCGAATGTTGAAAACAATTGTTGAATGTTGAAAGTTGAAAATCGAATGTTGAAAACGAATGTTGAATGTTGAAAACGAATGTAAAATGTTGAAATCAAATGTTGAGTGTTGAAAACGAATGTTGAAAGTAGTAAATCGAATGTTGAAAACGAATGTTGAATGTTGAAAACGAATGTTGAATGTTAAAAACGAATGTTGAATGTTGAAAACGACTGTTGAATATATAAAATCGAATGTTGAAAACGAATGTTGAATGTTGAAAACAAATGTTGAAAGTTGAAAATCGAATGTTGAAAACGAATGTTGAATGTTGAAAACGAATGTTGAATGTTGAAAACGAATGTTGAAAGTTGAAAATCGAATGTTGAAAACGAATGTTGAATGTTGAAAATCGAATGTTGAAAACGAATGTTGAATGTTGAAAACAGATGATGAATGTTGAAAACGAATGTTGAATGTTGAAAACGAATGTTGAATATTGAAAATCGAATGTTGAAAACGAAAGTTGAATGTTGAAAACGAATGTTGAAAGTTAAAAATCGAATGTTGAAAACGAATGTTGATTGTTGAAAACGAATGTTGAATGTTGAAAACGAATGTTGAAAGTTGAAATTCGAATGTTGAAAACGAATGTTGAATGTTGAAAACGAATGTTGGAAATTGAAAATCGAATGTTAAAAACGAATGTTGAATGTTGAAAACGAATGTTAAATGTTGAAAACGAATATTGAAAGTTGAAAATCGAATGTTGAAAACGAATGTTGAATGTTGAAAACGAATGTTGAATATTGAAAATCGAATGTTGAAAACGAATGTTGAATGTTGAAAACGAATGTTGAAAATTGAAAATCGAATGTTGAAAACGAATGTTGAATGTTGAAAACGAATGTTGAATGTTGAAAACGAATGTTGAATATTGAAAATCGAATGTTGAAAACGAATGTTGAATGTTGAAAACGAATGTTGAATATTGAAAACGAATGTTGAAAGTTGAAAATTGAATGTTGAAAACAAATGTTGAATGTTGAAAACGAATGTTGAAAGTTGAAAATCGAATGTTGAAAACGAATGTTGAATGAAAATCGAATGTTGAAAACGAATGTTGAATGTTGAAAACGAATGTTGAATATTGAAAATCGAATGTTGAAAACGAATGTTGAATGTTGAAAACGAATGTTGAATGTTGAAAACGAATGTTGAATGTTGAAAACGAATGTTGAAAGATGAAAATCGAATGTTGAATGTTGAAAATCGAATGTTGAAAGTTGAAAATCGAATGTTGAAAACGAATGTTGAAATTGAATGTTGAAAATCGAAATTGGAAAAAAAAAAAAAAATTAAAAAAAAATTGAAAAAAAAGTTTTAACAAAAAAAAAAATTTTGAATGTTGAATGTTGAAATTGAATGTTGAATGTTGAAAATGAATAACCCCCCCCCCGAAAAAAAAAAAAATTTGTGAATGTTGAATGTTGAATGTTTGATATTGAACCAACTTGACATCCGTGTACTGGAGAAATATGTGATGAAAAATTGTATGTTCGTTCAACATATCAAGATATTTGTAGGATTAGCATACTGGAAATAGGTGTCTGACAGATCCAAAAAGTTTTTACATATTACTTCTGGTCACTGTCAAGCGAAGGATCAAATGTGAAGTTATTCTGTTCATAGTCGTTCCTGAGAAAGTGTGACGATAATGTGTTTTGGACAAACAGACAGATGGACGGACAAGATTGTTGCAATATTGGAGACATACTAAAGAATTGCTGAGGCCAGACTTTAAATATATTTATTTGCTATTGGCCTTATATTATATTTGTCATGTTTTTCTCTCAAATTATAAATCTTGTGTCTTTGATGAGTTATTTTGTATGTTTTTTTTCTCTCATGTAAACATTAAGAATACACACTTGTTAGAGTGTACAAACTAATAAAAGATTCCAGGCTTATAACTTGTTACATAAGACTCATCAACAGCACTAACATCATATCAATAAGGAGGCCAAATCAAATACCAATAATGAGACAAATCACAAATGATTTGAACACTAAAATGGCTTTATTTGACATCCTTGGTAGGAAACATTCTTTCTTCTCCTCAATTTATTCATATTAATAACATCAAAATCTGTTACCTTATCCTGAGAAATGGTATGTATTTGACATAGTCAGAAACAAATCCTTTGGTTCAGAATATTTTTCAATTTTAAAAATATTTTTTTTATCTTTTGATAAAATTGTTATTAATAAATGACAACTGTAATGCAATTGAATTTAAATGACAATTTCATTGGTTGTCAACATATATTCTAAATTCCACTAATTAGTCTGAATCTAAGAGTAAGATAAGATGCATTTATAAACATGATATATATAGCAAAACAATAATATAACATAAGGAAGATAATCTGAGAGTTAACAATAAAGTTTGACTTCTTACTTACAGTTCACCTTGAGATAATCCACTGGTAACATTGGGTTGTGTACTACTTATGACTGAAATCAAAGAAAGTTAATTAGTAAACAGTAATTCTTTGTATTCCTATTTAGATTAGCCTGTCAACACTGAGGTTGTGAATTCAGAAGAGTTGCAATGAAAAGAACAGGACTGACAAACTGATTGATTACTGAGTCCTAATTTGGGACGGGCAAGTACAGAATTAGACAGGGTCAAAAATATTTGACGGGGTTAAACACGCTTAAAGGCACTAACCCTGACTTATTTGCAGATCATGCCTTGTTGATCAATTTTGCTATTTAAAGTTTCGGTCTATCATGGTCATATTCAGGTGAAGAATGAATTTAGATGTTAAACAAATTACAAATTTTCTAAAAGCTCAAATTTCCATCTATTTTCTTTCAACATTGACCTTGGACATAATAACCTCACAATGTAATGGATCTTCCTCTCATTATGTCATGTATGTGTGACCTTATATCTTAGTATGGTTGAAATCTGATATAAAGTTTTTAGAGTAAGTATCAAATTCAGAGAGTTGGGATCCCGCTAAGATGTTTAACCCCACCATATTCTGTATGTATGTGCCTGTCTATGCCTGTCCCAAGTCAGGAGCCTTTAATTCAGTGGTTGTCGTTTGTTGCTGTGTTACATTTTTGTTTTTCGTTCATTTTTTTTTTTGTACATTAATTAGGCCGTTAGTTTTCTTGTTTGAATTGTTTTACATTTGTGATTTCGGGGCCTTTTATCATGTTTATAGCTGACTATGCGGTATGGGCTTTGCTCATTGTTGAAGGCCGTACGGTGACCTATAGCTGTTAATTTCTGTGTCATCTGGTCTCTTGTGGAGATCGAGTTGTCTCACTGGCAACCATACCACATCTTCTTTTTTATATAAACATGACTGAATGATGTACAGACAGGTCAAAATCAAAATGCATTCCCCAACTACTTCGTATAATTAAGAAGAACTAGATATCATTGAGATGAGAGCCATCTCTGTGGGCCCTGCTGTGAATAATGTGTGGTAAAAAATTTGTATCTTTATCATTGGACATGGGGTTGTCAAATGAAACCAAAGTTTTTGACCTTGACCTTTGACCTAGAAAGTTGAACATAAATTATGACACACCCTCTGGTGTTGGTTTATATACATATCAAGTATAAACTTTGAAATCATAACGGTTCTCAAGATATAGAGTGGACACGATCTTTACCATAGGATATGGGGTTGTCAACTAAAACCAAAGTTTTTGACCTTGACCTTTGACCTAGGAAGTTGTACATACATTTTGACACACCCTCTGGTGTTGGTTAATATACATATCAAGTATAAACTTTGAAATCATAACGGTTCTCAAGATATAGAGCGGACACGATCTTTACCATAGGACATGGGGTTGTCAACTAAAACCAAAGTTTTTGACCTTGACCTTTGACCTAGGAAGTTGAACATACATTATGACACACCCTCTGGTGTTGGTTTATATACATATCAAGTATAAACTTTGAAATCATAACGGTTCTCTAGATATAGAGCGGACAAGATTTGATACGGACGGATGGACGGACGGACAGACGGACAGACGGACGGACAGACTGATCACTATAGGGCGGCCGCCATTCGGCGGGGCCCTAACAAATGTTCAATGTTGATTAGAATCTCCTCTAAATTTCTCTGCTTGTATCATCAATTTATGAGGTGTTTATAGAGAGCATCCTATGCGGATTAAAATTACCATTTTAACATGTTGAAAGGCTTGGAATAGCTTTAATAATATGAATACAACAATTAGAATCAAATATATTTTCAGCTAAATATATAATACTGAATTGAAGATATTGCCATTTTAAGTAGGGTTGTCAAATCAAACAGTTTTCCCAAGCAGGTTACTCCGATAATCTTTCGACCGATTAACCGATAGTTAAGTTGATGTACAAAGGCCTTATATATCTATATTACCCCACACATGTACGTTTTTGTGATACAATAAATTGAAGTTTATCCTTGGGAATAATAAGGCTAAACTTTGAGCATTCCTTGTGAAGTTTTACTTTTAATAATCCAATTCTACTGTATCTACCTATGAAGTTTGTAAAAATGTCACATTGAGAATCTGGTCGAATTGACAATGTCTGAAACTGTTGATTGTTTCATTTTCTTTCTGGTGTCTCAGAAAATAATGTGGAGTGTTTCAATTTGAAATGATTAAGCGTGTTACTACATCAAATATAATTTAATTCCATTCACATGATTTCCATTTCATCATTTTTGAGTCTGCATTTTGTTTAAGAATGACAAAAAGCTTGGACGATGGAGGTGGCATATTTACATGTACAATCCTTTACAACACTAATCTTAAGTTATATGAAGTTACAATGATTTGAATATACTAAATATAACTCTTCTACAAATGTTTGACTTGACAGAAGACTCATAAAAATACACTAAAAACCACCATTGTTGTCTTTTTACATATTTTAAATGTATACCAGCACTGATCAGGACAAAATCAACAGCACATACCATTCTCTCCAAGAATATTATAGGTAACTGGTTGATGTTATCACTTAATGCATGAAGGAGAACCTTGTTAACGAATATCATACCTGTGAGATGACCTGATATTAATGGGTCACACCTAGATATTCCATATCTGACTACATTTCACCTGTATTATAAAGCTAGTTTTATGAGACTCGAGTTTGGTGTCTACACAAAAATACTAAAATAGATGTCTTAGTGTTTTATAGGATGCTGCCTAAAAGATGTCTATCCTCGTCTTTTTTTTATTCGTATCATATCACATTCACTGATATTTAGTTCTAGTTATTGAATGATTGTACTTACAGGTGAAAACGTCTTCTTCCAGTAGATATTTACTTTCTCCGAATGTTACACCATACAAGCAGGAATACGACACATTAAGATCATTTTTAGTCAGGTTTTGAATAATTAAGGTGTATCCATCTTTCTCAACCTTCCCATCATACTTTTCATTAGGTCGTCCTGTTTTGACATCTATAAACAGTGTCCGTTGTTCTGGAGTCCACCTATCCCATCCAGCATCTTTGGGACAGCAGTTTGGAACATTGCAAAATAAAGTCACATTTTGTCCATATTCTGTAACCTTACCAACAACCGTCCATTCCAAAACACCTGAAATTTATTCCTGTTTAGATTAAATGCTTCACTTTACGTTACATATTGATATGGATACCCACAATAATCAATCCAGGATAATTAATAAGGGAATACAAACACTTTTACTATTAAACATTTATATTACTGTGAACTTTTCCCTCATATTCATAGCAAATGACATCAGTGTTTGATATGCATATTAAGACCATTGTGTATCTTTCGATATCTCACATGTTATCCATAAAAAATATTCTTAAGACATTTCGAACATTTAAACGAATAGATGCATCAAGTGAACCAACACCTTCTAACGGTACAAGCTGGTAGAGTAATCAGGATGGATACCCGGAATTATGCTGCGGTTGTCTTAAAACATTGGGAAAATAATGATACACAAAGACAACAACATCCAAGATTACTGCAAGGAAATTCTTTATTCTGGTCTAAAATCGTGTCAACAATGAACTACTACCACTCAAGATCCAAAGAAGACCACTGCAAAACGTAATGAACCACAGAACCGCACGATTTTATTGTTTAAATGAACTTGAAACATGGATAGTGTACCACAACCGCCAAATGTAACAAATTCACCACAACTTCCACCATTCCCTACATGTGCGACTACCATACATCTTACAATATTCCTGACGCAATTGGAAGTAGTACCTCTTTCCGAGTGAAGCCTTTTGGAATGGTACGGAATGTCCTGTGAGGTGATGTCCATAATTTTGTGTGCTGGTGGTTTTGCCACAGGGGTTGTGTATGCGTCTAGTGCAGTGGGGGAGTTAATACCCTATCACTGCCGCTGGCTAACTCACTTGTGGGTGAAAAGAAAGTCGAGTGTGTAAATCTTTCCTGCCAGTACAAAGCCTCTACACTATCCAAGACTTCTACAGTGCCTCCTCGCGACAGCACACGGTTAACTAGGTTTTATTATCCTAGGCGTCATCTGTAGAGGATCTCGGAGCAGCAAGGGCCCCAGAGATGCAGTGTGTAGGCCCACCGGCGTGTGGACACGCCCTAGCACTCATCATCCTTGCCCCAGCTATGGGTTAAATAGTATCACTGCCTTGTGATTGGATTTTTGAATTGATGGCTATGGTAGTAAAACCAGACAGAAAATCCGGGTAGATGGAACTCGATAGCAGCAGCAATCGTCTAAGGGATGGAAACCCCTACAGAAAAGCTGCCGGTCCTCCGGGCCCAGGGGGTTAAGCGTAGGGTTAATCACCCTGCCTTGGAAAAAAAATATTGATTACAGAAACGACTACAAAAGCAACTACTCTTTCTCGTCACAGACTAGAGGAAGAACATGTTTTTAACCGAAAACAGCAGATGACGCGAAGGCCGATGGAGCTGTTTTCAAACAAACTCACCACCAGAATAGGCACATGGAATGTAAGAACACTATACCAAAGTGGTAAATGTGCACAAGTAGCAAAAGAGATGAATAGATACAAGATTGAAATTCTAGGACTAAGCGAAGTTAGATGGAACACATCAGGCATGACAAATTTGAATACAGGCCACACAATTATATATTCCGGAAACACCAAACAAAATGACCCACATGAAAAGGGAGTTGGATTTCTAATAACAAAAAGATCTAAAACAGCTCTGATAGAGTGGAATCCCATCTCACCAAGAATTATCACAGCACGCTTTAACTCACGTTTCCAAAAAACCACCGTGATACAAGTATACGCCCCAACCAATGGTGCAGATGACTGTGAAAAGGAAGACTTCTACCACTCATTACAAACAACTATAGAAAAAAGTACCAAAAAGGGACCTATTGGTACTTATGGGTGACCTAAATGCTAAGGTTGGATCAGAAAGAAAGGGATGGGAGAGAGAAATCGGTCCTCATGGGATAGGAAAAATGAACGAAAATGGTGAACTATTTGCAGACCTCTGTGCTACCAACAACCTTGTCATAGGAGGAACACTCTTCAAACACAAGAATTGCCATAAGGTAACCTGGGTGTCACCAGCAGGAAATGCAGAAAACCAAATAGACCACATAACTATTTCTCAGAGATGGAGGTCATCACTGCAAGATGTAAGGGTAAAAAGAGGAGCAGATGCAGCATCAGACCATCATCTAGTTATAGGGTCAATAAAGATGAAACTTTTAGCCCAAAAAAAAACAGTTGTCAAAAGAAGAAAGTTTAACGTTGGGAAGCTTAAAATACCAAACATAAAAGAAGAATTTCAAATATCTCTTCAAAACAGATTCTCAGCTATAAGTGACCTTGATATAGAGAACAATGATATTAACAACACATGGGAGCAGACAAAAAATGTAATTCTAGAAACATGCGAGGAAACATTAGGATATATGCAGTATAAACGCAAAAACTGGATGTCAGATAATACATGGGTTAAGGTTGAAGAAAGGAGAAAAGCCAAAGAAAAAGTCTTAAATGCCACCACAAGACAACAGAAAAGACAAACACAAGACCTTTATAGAGAGAAAGACAAAGAAGTGAAGAAGAACTGTAAACATGATAAAAGAGACTATGTTGAACAACTAGCACAAGAAGCAGAAATTGCGTGTAGCAAAGGAGACATAAAATCTCTCTACAACACAACTAAACAACTAAGTGGCAGAAGATCCAACTCAAACGCTACAGTAAAAGATAAAAATGGCAATGTTATTACCAAAATTGAAGAACAATTAAAACGATGGAAAGATCATTTTGAAGAAGTGCTAAACAGACCCCCTCCAACAGACCCACCTAACATCGAAGAGAGACAGGTCCTGAATATCAAGACAGGAGATATAACTAAAGCAGAGGTAAATGCTGCAATAAAACAACTAAAGAATGGAAAAGCAGGAGGAATTGACAACATACCCCCTGAAGCTATAAAGGCAATGGATAACATCTGTATTGATAAACTTCATCAACTACTAAACAAAATATGGAATGACGAACATATACCTGATGACTGGCGTAAAGGAATCCTTATTAAACTACCAAAGAAAGGTGACAAATCAATCTGTAGCAACTGGAGAGGTATTATTTTGCTTTCCATTCCTAGCAAAGTCCTATGTCACATCATCCTACAGAGGTTAAAGAAAGAAGTTGATAAGTTACTGAGAGATGAACAGGCCGGTTTCAGACAAGAGAGATCATGTATTGACCAAATTGCTACATTAAGAATCATCATTGAGCAAACCATTGAGTGGCAGACATCCCTATACCTAACATTTGTAGATTTCGAGAGGGCCTTTGATAGTATAGACCATCAAGTACTGTGGAACATCCTTAGATATTATGGAATACCTGAAAAAATCATATCCGTCATCCAACAGCTCTATGACGGTTTTACATGTCAAGTGAGCCATGCAGAGACTCTGACAGATCCATTTCCTGTATCAACCGGTGTCAGACAAGGATGTTTACTTTCCCCTCTCCTTTTTCTGATAGTTATAGATTGGGTGAGTCGGAAATCATACAACACTCCTCTAGGTATTAAATGGACATTACAGTCATGCCTCGAAGACCTTGACTTTGCAGACGATATCTGCCAGCTTTCCCATCGCCTTGAAGACTCACAAAACCAAGCAACCAACCTTGAAACAACGGCAAAACAAGTAGGACTATACATCAATTCGAAAAAGACAAAATCTATGAGGGTAAACGCAAACCAACTTAACAAAACCAAAGTGAGAGATGCTGAAATTGAAGATGTCCGAGAGTTTACATATCTTGGAAGTGTCATCAGTACATCAGGAGGGACAGATGAAGACATCCAATCAAGAAAAAGAAAAGCTCAACAAGCCTTTGCTATCCTTAAACCAGTCTGGAGGAGCAAAGCACTTAGAACAAACACCAAAATCAGGATCTTCAACTCAAATGTAAAATCTATACTTCTCTATGGGTCAGAAACTTGGAGACTAACAGCTGCATCTACAAAAACATTACAAGTTTTCATAAACAGGTGTCTAAGAAACATCATTGGAATCAAGTGGCCAAACACCATTAGCAACAAAGAATTGTGGAAAAGGACAAGACAAGAACCAATAGAAAGAACGATAACAACACGCAGATGGAAATGGATTGGACACACTTTACGTAAAAACAACACAAATGTAACTAGACAGGCGTTAGATTGGAATCCTCAGGGTCATCGTAAAAGAGGGCGACCAAAATCCACCTGGCGCAGAGATCTTACATCTGATCTACAGAAAATTGGGAAAACATGGGGTGAAGCAAAGAAACTAGCCAAGGACAGGAAAAGATGGAAAGCTACTGTGGTCGCCCTATGTCCCCCATGGGACGAAGTGGATTAAGTCAAAGTTAGTGTTTTATAGGATGCTGCCTAAAAGATGTCTATCCTCGTCTTTTTTTTATTCGTATCATATCACATTCACTGATATTTAGTTCTAGTTATTGAATGATTGTACTTACAGGTGAAAACGTCTTCTTCCAGTAGATATTTACTTTCTCCGAATGTTACACCATACAAGCAGGAATACGACACATTAAGATCATTTTTAGTCAGGTTTTGAATAATTAAGGTGTATCCATCTTTCTCAACCTTCCCATCATACTTTTTATTAGGTCGTCCTGTTTTGACATCTATAAACAGTGTCCGTTGTTCTGGAGTCCACCTATCCCATCCAGCATCTTTGGGACAGCAGTTTGGAACATTGCAAAATAAAGTCACATTTTGTCCATATTCTGTAACCTTACCAACAACCGTCCATTCCAAAACACCTGAAATTTATTCCTGTTTAGATTAAATGCTTCACTTTACGTTACATATTGATATGGATACCCACAATAATCAATCCAGGATAATTAATAAGGGAATACAAACACTTTTACTATTAAACATTTATATTACTGTGAACTTTTCCCTCATATTCATAGCAAATGACATCAGTGTTTGATATGCATATTAAGACCATTGTGTATCTTTCGATATCTCACATGTTATCCATAAAAAATATTCTTAAGACATTTCGAACATTTAAACGAATAGATGCATCAAGTGAACCA